ATTGCTATGGGAAATACATTTCTTAATGTGTATATGTTTGCTTTCAGTATTAGCCATAATATTCCTCTCTGTGATGTGACATTTGGGGCCTGTCTAATTTCTGTGGTTAGGTACATAAAATTGTGATACAAAACCAAGCAGACTTTTTTATCTTTGCACTCATGTTTTTATCTCTTTTATTTATTGCCACCTCTATCCTGGGTATCTGCATACTCCCAAATTACCTTTGCAATGAAGACACACTTAAGAAATTTCAGCTTCAAGTGTTGTTTTGTTTTAAAGGATTTTGGAGTGAGGAAAATAGAAGTTCAGTGTCGTGGAATTTAGAAAGCTTTAGACTTGGAGCTAGCATTTTTATTACAATGCTGCAAATTCTCAACCTGCGTAAGCTATAATTTGCTTTATCCCCAAGGCAGTAAGGAAATTCTTATGTACAGCACATTGATCTAGTTCAATAGCAGGCTTTCCTTTTTGTGTAAGTGCATTTTTTTCTGTGTAGAATTATATCCTGATAAAATACATAGCATTACCGTGTATGTGTTACTTGAGATTTTAAGCCACCTTGGTTATTTTTTCAGCTCTGAAAAGCTGATGTAAAGGCACTGCTGTTTTCCAGTTTTGAGCAAGAGCTGTGGAGTGTGATGCTTTTTGTATACTTTTCCAAGCAGTGTTAGTCTGCTCCTGTAAGAATTCTATTTTAGCAAAGAAATGGAGTAGCATTTTTATGATTTTTTTAGCTTCGCTGTTTCTCTACTCTGTTTTTGTAATCAATGATTTCTCAAGAATCTGCAAATCAAAGGGCAAACATTTTCTCCAATCAAGTAAATATGGCCTTCCTGTTGCCCAGGAGCTTTTAGACAACCAAAAATGCTGTGGAGAAAAAGCGAAATAGATTTACTTTTAATGAGCAATATCTTGACCTAAACGTAAAAGTAATTAACTGAGCAGCATGTTTCACTGCAGGCTGCGCATGAGAAGGTACTGCCTTCTGTGGCTTATTCCTAAATCTTGCTGATTAGCAAAGCCTTTCCTTCTGCCCAGTGATTTACTGAATTCCTTGCATTTCACTGTGCATTCCCATTTGGCTCCCGCGTCATGCCATGGACTTCTTACGTGTTGTTTTTCTAGCAGCACAGTGCAGACACACTGGAATGGAAATCAAAGCAAGGGCTGTGTTTGCTTTGTTCAAAGGCAGGTATCTGCATGCCTGTGTGGGGCTTCCTTTCCTGCCTGAATCTGGTGGGATGGTGAGACATGTGAACAGCAGGCACTCTCCCCTATTGGTACATGAACCAGGGTTTTGGTAGGAGGCAGTAATTCATGTTTTTGATGCCTTTCACTAGAGGCCTTAAAGCATGAGCAAATGTGGAAGATTCTTCCACTTTTATAGACGTCAAAACAGCTTGGTGCAGTGTGTGGTGCTAGGGTAAGTCAGGAGGAAACCTGGGTCCTTTGTTATTAGTCATCTGTCTGTTAGATGATCTGTTCTTATTTGAACAGTTAGGACTGTTTTATCTAATGAGATATACACTTAAAGACAGACAAATTCTTCCAGAACACTGGAAGTCATCTATTGGAAAGGATAGAAAATCAAACCTGTTGTTTATTTTAAAAGCTGGATGCCTCCCAGCTCCTTTCTCTCTCTTTCTTTCTTCCTCCTGCCTGACAACCTACTGTCATTACATTACTGCATCTGTTTAATTATTC